CTGCTGACACAACGGTGCCCTGTGACAGCAACTGGCCAGTGAGCGGTTACTCTCCGCTTTGTGGCTGATTTCAGCAGCACATGCGCATCAGGAGATCAGTCGACGCAGCCGGCAATCAGGCAGTCAGGGGGGGGACACGAGACTCGCTCCACTCTGACAAGGATAACAGCTCAGAGAAGGCCGATGAGTACGGTCAAGCGACAGCAGACCGACAGAGGCTTGTTGACCATCGACAGGCGACCAATAACTTCGCCGCTTCGCACGTCAGGTGGCGCTTTCGTGCTGAGCGGCTTGCCGCTCTGCCATCCTCGTCTTCAACGCCCTCTTATTTGTCGCGGTTGTTGGCCGTCAGGCTGTGAGTGAACGTCAGGGAATCGATCGGAGAATCGATGTCACCGTCAATCGATCATAACGAATAATTATAGGTGGCTTACGCATCCGCCATCTCCTGGTTTGATTGAAGAGTAAACACGCCGTGATTTGCATTCCTCAGCTGGCCGTTCTCTAGCCGCCTCCCCTCATGTTATATGTAGTTTTTGAAGTGGTTGTTTTTATTTGCATACGACACTTTTGACATTAGGTCGATGCGCATGTTAATACTCCTTCAATGTTTGCATATTCGACAGCTAGCGGAGGCATCATGCCATCAATGGATAGCTTGGCCCATACACTGTTTGTCTCAGCAAGTGTCATTGCTTTCACTCTTAGCCCTTGACGTTGGCAAGAACGAACTACTGTGTTCAGGTGATGCCTGGATCAACAGTAAGATACCCTGTGGTTTCACTATTCATCTAGGTTCGGATTTGCATATGGCAATGTGTGGACTGTTTATTAAAAGTGGGAGTAACTTTACACGCCGTGTTTTCTAAGGCACTCGCAAATAAATTCTCATTAATCTATCAAAAGAACAACGGCCAAACAAGTATTACTTGCTCAATCAACTTGCCGATGATATTGGGAACGGCCAAAAATAACAGGAGGCGATTGTATCGGAGGACTTTGCCCCCAGACTAGGGTTATTTTCTGTCAAAACTCGGCCATGGACGCAGCAGAAACGTTGACGGCAGTGTCTGAGATTTCTGTCCCCCTACCCCATAGAATAAACGCTCATCAAATTTCATCCATAATAATACAACTAACGAACTGAGGTGAAAACTTGGCCATAGCTTGTTTGGAAGGACTGGATCACTAAGAATAGCTTAGCGCATCTGAAACCGAGGCCACACAATGTGAGGTAAGACTTCAAATCCCCATCTTCCACCAAACTTACCTGGTCACATCCTGACAGTGGAACCTCTTAGAGGTTTGTATATTTTGCGGTTATTTTTTTAGTGACCTGCTAGAAGTATTAACTCGGTTGGTGGACTTAGCTCTCGTCCAATAATTTTCTTTTGTATTTTGGCTCTTTCCTTTAAAATAAAAGGCTTCGTTTCACTTTTCATTCCGACCCCGATTCCTCGTTTGTCTGATCATTCACCACGCACGTTGTCTCATTTTTTTACAAATTTTCGCTTTGCCTAACAAATGCATTGAATTGTAATATTTATTTCAGAAATATTGCCAATCAATTTTTCAGAATTGGCCCTCCTGGAGATTGCCACATTTCTTAGTCAGCCATCAGGTGGGTGGTTGCGAATTTCAGCCCCAAAAAAGTGCTAACATCCAACAGCATAACCGTACACCTCGTAAATCCTTGTATGGTCAGAACATCACGTTCTCTCTGCTGATTGCAGATCAACGACCTGCCACTCCTCTCTGAACTGTTTGTACAGTGGTCAACTTCTTGACTGAAGGATATTCGTTCGCCGTTAAGAAACAATGTGCCCATTCTCCGGATTCGAATCCGATTTTCTTGAGACCGTGCCACCGTGTCCAAAATTTCTTAGGTCTGGTCATGTCTAACCTGTTGCATTAGTATTAGAACTTTTTACCAGGTATTTACTCCATAAGTACGACTTTCAAGCGTAGCAGCCAGTTTTGATTTATTTATCCATACCTTCATCCACTGACAGTCCTTTGTTTCTTTTCGTTTCTTTTACATCCCTACCTCGCTCCTTCTTTTTTTCTGTTTTCCCTCTTACTTTTTCTCCTCCGTTTTGTAGCTCTCCTTTCTCTGTCGATTTTTTTATTCACATCTTTCTCTTTAACTCATTCCTTTCACTATTCCTTTTCTCCCTCCTGACCTTAGTTTCTGCCATAGCTCCTTCGACTTATTCTTTCCCTCCTTGCTCTTTCCCTTCGCCTGCGCCTACTCATTCTCGTTCACATTTTCTTTTCCTATCTCGTTTTCTATCCATTTCTTTTTCTCGTTCTCCTCTTCCACTTTCCTTGCTTTTTCTGATTTTCTTTCATCTGCTTTTTCTTATTCTCACCTGTTTGTTTGTTATTGTTTTATTACATATGTTTCTGTTCTATTTCCTCCAGTTGTTCCTTTCCGCCAAGGCTCCTTCTTCATCCTTTCTTCTTTTCTTTCGATTTCATCTTTTTTCTTCCTTACCCCCTCTTGTTGCTTCCGCTTCTTCTTCTCCTGATTCTCTACTGTCAATTGTCCTTCATTTTCTAGCTTTCGCATCTCTTTTTTCGCTTTCTCGTCTTTCTCTTGCTCATTGCTTTTCTATCTTCCGTCTCTTCGTTAGTGAAGAAATCCAGCTGTATATTCTCTCGCCTCTGAGTGGTCTTCAAATATTTCAATACTCGTGCCGTGCAACTCTCCACTTAAGTCGTTGTCTCCTCAGTGCACTTCGGTTCATTCAGACGATGCAAAACAAGTGTGCCATTCTGTACAAAATTTGTCGCTTTATGGCTCTGTGAAGCTGCTGTTTTAAACATGTTAAGTTTCGTCGCCATTTTTACTTTTAGCGCTTCTGTATTTTCCTTGTTTAGATGGGCAACTTCTATACTCACATCCACCCTTCGTAATACTGTAAATTTTGTTATGATCTTATTTGCTATTTCTGCAGAGAGAATGAGTTTCTCTAAGACGTTCATCATAACATCGATTCCTGGATAACTTAACCTATGGATTAGACTGGTTGGTACTGATTTTACTGACTTCAATCGCCACGTGACATGATAGTCTTTGATTCCAGTGGCATCCTCTGTCGACTATAAAACTACTGTACTACGGGCCTGAAGATGTGCACATTCCGACAACGTTTCAGGGAGGATAGAATTCTGAGGGAAATAGTAAAAGCTCTGAATCGATTGGGTAATCTCCAGTTTAGTTTCACTTTACAAGATGTGTTGTATTTTGTTTTGAAAATCAGAGACTTATTTGCCACATCAACATTTGAACCTGCTCAGTCGTGATTTTCCTGATATGGTTAAGGAAAATCGCTTGGGAGGCAAATGTAAAATTAAACGTTTGGGAATCAGTAGAGTTTTACAGATGTTTTGAGCTTCAGTCACAGATTTATCGTAAAGTGGGTTGGTATGCGATGATAACTTTCAAAACTTTTAGCTATCCAAAGAATGAACAAAGTAATGTACATAAAAAAAACCTATCTTATCGATTAACTGCCACGCTGCGAATTTTCGACACCGCCGTTAAAGAAAAAAAATTTTTTACTTGTTGATTTACACGGCACCGTCCAGTTGGTTCCCAGCGGTCAAGGGGACCATTAAGGCAGTCCCCGGCATCATGTTATTTGAGCACATGCAATGCATGGATGCCCTACCCAGTGATTCGGTTCTGCCTCCATGCACTGCAAGGGCTCATATACCATGGAGTCCGACCTGCTTAAATGGTCCTTTCGGCAGGAAAAAGCAAGGGAACGATACCTGTACGCCGGCCTAAATTCGTTGATACAAGGAAATGTCACAAATAGCAAAGTTGTGAGTTTCATAGCGCAATTCCTTCTGCATTTTAGTTATCCGCCGCCATCTGCTGCTCACTCATAATTGTTCCTCGTTTTCTTCTCGGTTGCGCCACCTCTTAGCTACGGTGGCAATAAATCACACTGGCCATGCGGGTGGTGTTTTTTCCACTGCCAGTGGTACGGTGTAATTTTTGCTCAAGCAGTAAGGCTTCCATGGAGGCGAAAACTATTTTGTTCCTTGGGTTCGAAGCAGTCCGCCGTTAGCGACATCGCAGTAGGTCTTACGACCTATTTACTCGATCGGTGCAATCGTAAAGCTGTAAATTATCGTCTGACTTCGCCGAAGGAGCCGCGTTTTTACCATGTAATTTGCACAGAAAATTGTGCTCATCTCTGCTGAACGCTTCAGCTTCCTGACGCTCGAGTTATGCTCCCGGTCAAGTGCAACCGAATTTTGGTTTTCTTGCTCTCTGTAATAACCAGGAACTGAGCACAGCGGCGGCCCAAGTAATGGTACATCAGCATCGGTTCCGCTGTCAGCTTCCTCGATTTACTGCTGCATGAGAACGACCGCCTCAATATTAGACTTGTTTCATAATGACGTGTTCTTTGGCACGAGTCTTCATCCGCTTCTTACTTGAGGTATGACTCTTCCTCGTCATTAGATTATGTTCAGCACTCGTGCTTCTGCAATTTAGAGATGATAAAGCAGCTTCCGGCTCCATCCTAAGAGTCTGTACGACTACTGACCAATTAGGCTTCAGCGCCGTAAATTCGATCTACTTCAATGCATATGTTTTTAAGCGAGTGTGCACGTTTGGTATCTGTCCGTCTCGTCCCCTGGACAATAGCCACTAGTTCTGTATGGTAAACCATCACCCTAACGAGCTGTCGTATTTACGCCAGACCGGCGAGTGCAAACATAGGAATAAGCCTATAAAGGAAGTCTACCGAATAATTGCCTCAGGCTACATCATCTTAGCAGTGGTCATAATTACATACAGGAAAATAGTCAAACGGCATTTGGCTTCAATGCCACCGTTGATATGTAAAGCATTTGGAATATTAAAAGAATATCGATTTTCCCACGCCCGCCTGTATTCGTTTAGCTCAGTGATGCCGCATCTGGCATAGAGACTGTCGGTTTTATAAGGAATTGAGAACGGCCGGTTAAATAAAGTACAGCATTTGATGCTAATGAGAAATGGGAGTTCATTGGCGGGAGCACGTAGGGGACTCTGTGTTCTATTCTGGACACCGGTTTTTTCGCAGCTTTGGAGTTTAACCTTGTGTAGCATATTGAGTGATGTTCTAATTATTTCTAATCACCATCGCTGATTTAGCCGACTACAATGACGTCATCTCAAATCGAAACTTTCTACCCCTGCTGATGTCGATCTCTAAGTTCAAGCAGTCCTTTTCCCACGGTTTGTACCGGTGGAATGATGCCCAATACGAAAGTGTCCCAATAAGTTGTAATTTGTTCACTCCTTTTTCGGTGCCATTCAGGAATCTGGGTACCGTTCGTGTAATTGAGGTGA